ACACCCCTTAGGTGCACCAAGATGCTCAAGTGTTGAAGATACTTAATCGTTGAGGCCAAAGACAGAAGAGCTGATTTCCCTCTCCCATCTCTAGGTGACCCAGGACCATGAGCTTACTGAAGGAGAAAAGAGGAGAAACTGAGACAGGATTACATCAACAACCCTGTCTCCATCTCTCCTACATCTCTGTCTTTCAGAATCTCTCAGTCGCCTCTTGGCTGCCAACACCCCTCTCCCTTTCCCATCTCGCCAAGCACCACATCAGGTAAGTTAAGTGAGCAAATGAAGCAATGGCCGTATTACAAAGGATGACAACCACACTGGAAAGGGCCACACTGAAACGCATGAAGGGGAAACCTACAGAAACCCTGACCAGTACTGAAATTCTGCCTCTACCAACCGACTGGCAGGTACTTGTTTCGCAAAATTTCCCAGTTCAGTGTGTTTGGTATCCAATTATTGAGCCTTTCCTCTTTAATTTCACAATTGCTTGATTGATAAGGGCATGCTGAGTTAAACTGTTTAGCCAGTTTGCATACAGTTCACACATAGGTAGCTCTGGTAATTCTCAGCTAAATGTCTTGTTTTCAAATTATTCAATCAAATACTCACTTCCAACATTGTGCATGTAGAAACATCACAAATAATGTCAAACAGCTAACAGCACAGAACTTATTATGGTGTCTGAACAAACCCTGCCCTAGCCTTGCCTGGTAGTCACAAATCACAGTGATACCTATCACGTGACATGGTTCTGACCCTGATTTAGCTACTGCTGAGGTACCCATTCACACATCCACTGTGGTCCCAGTGCCAGCTGCACCCCCACTCTTCCCTTGATATGAGGTGAGACTGTAAGCTTACTTATCACAGTGAATCAATCCACAAAGAACACTCAAAATCAAAACAAACATAATCGAGAAAACTCTGAAAACCTTCAGGTCTGACTAAAGGACAGAAATAAAGGCCCTCCTCCCTCCCCCAAGCCATCAATCAAATGCTCAACAAACACACAAGCCCTATTTCCTTCTAGCTTGGCAATCTCTGAACACCACCACCAGCTCACACCTGGAACTTGAAGCAACAGTAAGGGAATCTGAAAGAATGGAGAAAAGGCACACAGCATGAATTCAACGCTTATTTTCTCTCTCTCCCTTTCTCAATAAAAATCGGGGGACTGGACTTCAAAAAGTTCATGAAAAATAAGGTTAAAAGTTTAGTTCATTTGGGTGCAAAAACTGCAAAATTCATGTGTCTGCAGGATCTTCAAATGTTGATAGGAAAATGTACTATGAAAATACAAGTATGGGGCCAGCGCTGTGGCGTAGCAGATAAAGCCGCGCGTACAGTGCAGGCATCCCATATGGGCATCAGTTCAAGTCCTGGCTTCTCCACTTCCAATCCAGCTCTCTGCTATGACCTGGGAAAGCAGTAGAAGATGGCCCAAGTCCTTGGGCCCCTGCACCTGCGTGAGAACCCGGAAGAAGCCTCTGGTTCCTGGCTTCGGATTGGGGCAGCTCTGGCCATGCAGCCAATTGGGGAGTTAACCAGTGCATGGAAGACTCTCTCTTTCTCACTGCCTCTCCTTCTCTCTCTGTAACTCTTTCAAATAAATAAATCTTTTAAAAAAAAATACAAGTATGTATTTGATTTCAAATTGTTGCCACCAAAATAAATTTATCTCTAAATCCCGTTTCTCATAAACTTTTAGAAGTACCCTCATTGATGAATCAAAGAATTAAACAATACAGACTGATTCAATTTATTCAGCAAATGCTGACCAAGTACCCACTAGGCATAAAACTCCCTTTCACCAAGATAACAATTCTGGCTGCAGAAATCGGCTGGGTTACATCTTAAATCTGCTCTCTTGCCTCCCCTTCCTCCCATGTTCTCTCCCTAGTTCCAGCACTTTTCTTGGCCTAGCACCCCCTTCCTTCCTGTATTCTTTTACATAATCACAGTGCCTTGCCCATTCTAGTTGCACCTGCTGGCAGACCTTATTCAAGCTTACCAGGAAGTGGCAACAGCCCATCCTAACCTTATAGAACATGTACACCTGCCAGATTCAAGTTAACTGTGACACAATTCCATGGGCCATTCCTCTGCCCAGTCTCTAAGGGAATGGGCCCTTCAATATTCTGAAAGAAAACAAACAATGTATTGGCACACATCCCAAAGGCCATTTTCGTCCTATGACAATGCAAAGTTATTCTCCCTCTAATGTCGCAATTACTGAGGACTAGGGAGTTTAAGTCCAAATGGCTTAATGTTTTGCTGAAATGACTTTTGAGATGGAAATCCTATCAACACTATCACACTTGCCTCTGCAGGAACCAAAGAGTCTGTGTCTACTAACTGTTCTTCAAGAGAACATGAGCGCCCCAAGGAGAGGCATGGGGCAGGGTGCTGCCAGGGGTAAGAAGAGCTGTCAGGTGAAAGACAAAGCCACACGATGTAGTGGCACCCCTTCCTGAAGAGAAAACTTTCCCTTCAAAAGAAAAGACAATATTTTATATTAAAATAAGCTCTAATATATGATGTAGTAAACTGAACAACTAAATTTTTTAAAGTTTAAAAACTCCAGATTTTGAGGAAAATTCCTGCTTGCGGTACTCTGCAGAGTTATGTCCACAATACTAGTTTGTGGTGTTTCCTGCAAGTAGCTGTCTTACTTTAAATATTCGCTGATACTATTTTTTGGAGATTTCATTTGCACTACGATCTTCTTGATTCTTGAGGGCATAAACTTAATCTCATCCTTCTCTTTGCCCTTGGGGACCTAGGACAGTACCTAACAAACATCTGTTACACAGCAGGAACTCAATGATATTTGCCCGAAATAATGGCAATGGCATTATTGCTAACCAAAGATTTTTTTATCACAGTTTGATAGGAGCGGGGAAAGATGAACAGCTCTATGAGGAAGTGGAGTAGAAGCAATATAATTTACCAAAACAGCTCATAGCTGCCATGGTAACAATCAGATGAAGTAACTCAGTTTAGTTCTTTTCCACTTAAACAGGCACATGAAAGTAAATATTGTACTTGCTAATCTCAAATGAGAAAGAGGTGGGGCTTAGGACACAGGTCTACCAGGTGACACTGACATTACATTTAATGATCTGTGAAGAGTTTGGAAAGGCATCATGATAATAATAATGCCACTATTTTTATTAAATCCTAATTTGTACACTGTTCCTAAGAAGGTTATTCAACTCATTTAACAGTTAAGTGTCCAGTCTGCTGCTGAAACTTGACAACTGTGAGACATAGATTCCTATATATACATATATAATATCAAGGATGATTTGAGCTCACCCTGCCTCACTCCTAAGATTGTTACTTTTAAGAAAGGTAACTGAAGGGCCAGCGCTGTGGCATAGTGGGTAAAGGTGCCAGCACCCCATATGAGCACTGGTTTGAATCCTGCTGCTCCACTTCCAATCCAGCTCCCTGCTGATGGCCTGGAAAAGCAGTAGAAGATGGCCCAAGTGCTTGGGCACCTGCACCCACATGGGAGACCTGGAAGAAGCTCCTGGCTCCTGGCTTCGGAATGGCTTAGCTCTGATCGTTGCAGCCATTTGGGGAGTGAACCAGCAGATGGAAGACCTCTCTCCTTCTCTCTGTTTGTAACTCTATCTCTCATATAAATAAATAAATAAATCTTTAAAAAAAAAAAAAGGTAACTGAACTCAGGCTACAGTACTGATGAAAGATGATCTCCAAGCATACAGTACACAGCAATGCTTAAACTTTTCTACACTCCTGGTGGAGACATTTCATTTTATTTCATTCGTAAACAAACAGAAAAGATGGGCATCACACCCACTTCCTGCACACAATCCCTCTTACACTGCAGTGAGTCATTCTCCATGCCCCGCAGTCCCCTCACTTTCCAAACGGTAGGGAGAAGCCGGGAGGGGGAGGAACCGGTGAGCACAGCAGGTGTAACCTCTGAGGCAAGGAAGGGGCACACTGACACGTCCAAGGGCTATTTCCTGTTCTGATGCTCCCCGGTGTCAGGTAAGCAAATGAAGATCTGAGAGGCATCACTGAAATTTCAGGCTCAACTAAGTCTCAGCTAAAATCCAAACAGGAAGTGGAACAACACGGACGGCACTGAAATGTCTGAATTTTCTGAGGAACAGGTGGAACTGGCAGCCCCAGACATACCATTACACCAAGGCTTGTATCGTGCAAACAGGCAAATGAAGTTCAGAAAGAAAGCCTGAACATCTCTCCCTCCAGGCACTGAAATCACACCTGCAGGCAAAGCCTTTCTCTCGGAGAATTGTTAGCAACTTGGTATTATGCCCTTTGTCTAAACTGTAGAAGCACACAATGTATTGTATGATTCTACCATTTTATTATGTTGTATGAAAAGGGACCTGAGATCCATTCACAAGATCAGATCCCTGCTGTGTAATTAAGTGGGCAAGTCCCTTATAGTCTCTGGGTCTAAATTTCTGGATCTAAGTTGCTCCTTCAGCCACACAAGCAAGCCTAGGGTGGTTGTGCAGAATCAAATGAGCGAACCCCGTGAAATGCTTACCACATAGTAGGCATCAAGGAGTGTCTGTGTCCAGTAATAAAAATGTCCAGCAAAGTTTTTTTTGAAAACTGTGATAGAGGATGCGGAATTGGCAAACTGCCAGAGGCTGCAGCCCCAGGGCACAGCCAGGAGGCCTTGGGTGATGTAATCAGGCAGGTGAGACTTGGGGAAGGCCCAGAGCCAGACGCTGAGACGGCACGGCAGCCGGTGCCATTAACTTCAGCAAGTTAAACTTTCTCCCCAAACCCTGGCTCCCTGAACGCATTAACTTGTCCTAACTCAGGGGAATCATCTCAGAAAAGTCAAAGCCAGCCGGCAAGCGTTGAAAAGCAACTTGGAGATGAGAGTAAGTCCCTTTGGGGTGCACATCACGCCAAGTGAAGAGCGACACAGGGGCAGGCAGCAAACCCCTCCATCACTTCCCGCCCCCAAATGACACACGCACCTGGGGATGAACTTGGCTTCGTCCCCGAGTCGCGCCTGGAAGTCCTGCCAGGCGCAGCCGGGCCTCGCCGTGTCCCACGGGGCGGCCGGCGCTGCCGCCGCGTCCTCGTCACTCTCGTCTTCCCCTCTGTCTTCAGCCTCAGTGCCCACGTCCGCTGCGGCGGGAGAGGACTCCCGCGGCCCCCAGCCCCGACGCCGCCCCCCGCGACGGGCCCCGCGGAAGCCGCGCGCGAATTCCTGGAAGGTGATGGCACCGTCGCGGTCCGCGTCCAGCCGCTGAAACACTGCCTCGGCGTCTGCGGGCCGCACGCGCAGCTCCGCGCACAGAGCGCTGAACTCCTCACGCTCCAGGCGCCCGGAGCGGTTCGAGTCGCAGGCGGCGAAGAGCGAGCGCAGCTGGGCCAGCTCCTCCGGGTTCCCGTCCGCCTCCATCCGGACGCGACGGGGCGCGCAGCGCTCCCAGCCGCGGCGACAGCGGGAAGTCCGGGGCCACCACCTGCTGCGGCCGGGCCAGGCGGCAAGTTGGGCTCGTCGGGCTGGTTTGTCCACTTGCGGTCACGTCAGGGCCGGGCGAGGAGCCTGGTTGGGTGGGAGGTGGCCAGGTGGCGTGCGCTGAGGCTGGTCCCGGTGGGACCCCAGCAGGCCCTTGGAGAGGTGGGGGTGCTCCCGACTCTGGAACCGCGCAGTAGCTTCAGCTCTGGCGACTGAGCGCCTGTGGCGCGGTGGCCGTCCCCACACTCCCGCCAGTGCCAGAGCGGCGCCGCCCAGGTGGGGAGGAGGGGCGCCTGGCTCGGGTTCCCACGCCTCCGGGGACTGGCCTGGGCTTTGTGTGAAGGAATCTGGGCCCCTGGCCGGACTGGGGCTGGCGCAGCAGCGTTGGCCTTCAGGGAAAACGCTGTTGACTGGGGTAAAGCCCAGTGGCCGGCTCCCCTGGGACGTGGTGCGGTCCTGAGCTTGGGAAAGGAACTGGACAGGTAGGTAGTGGAGGGACACCCAGTGCCTTTTACGCCTCAGTTCCAAAAAATTGATCAACTTCTCCAAGAGGGCAAGCAAGTTATCCAACAAACTCAACACAAGATTTACCAGGAGACCCTGTTTTCTAACTGGCTTTTGTTAACTCCGACTCGTCTAGCATTAAGGTCCCGCTAGTTAATAATGCGTATTGGAAACCACGTCAATCTTCCAGATCCACAAATGAACTTTTTCTCAGTCCTTGTCTCCTAGAGACTATTAACCTAAATCGCTTAGCAGAGTTTTGTTTTTGTTATCTTTAACAAACTTTATGGAAATTATATGTTCCAAAGTACACTAACTTTTGATTTTTTTTTTTTTTTTTTTTGACAAGCAGAGTTAGAGAGACAGAGAGAAAGGTCTTCCTTCCGTTGGTTCACCCCCCAAATGGTCACCATGGCCGGCCGATCCAAAGCCAGGAGCCAGGTGGGCCATCCTCCACTGCACTCCCAGGCCACAGTAGAGCGCTGGACTGGAAAAGGAGCAACCGGGACTAGAACCCGAGGTGCAAGCACCGCAGGCGGAGGATTAGCCTAGTGAGCCACGGCGCCGGCCTATCTTTTGATTTCAAGCCAGAGAGAGGGAGAGGGAGAGAGGGAGAGAAGGAGAGAGAAAGAGAAAGCTCTTCTATCCATCCCCTGGTTCACTCCCCAGATGCACCTAACAGCCAACACTGGCAAAGATAAAGCCGGGAGCCTGGAACTGGATCCTGGTCTCCTGTGTCAATGGAAGGACTCAAGTACTTGAGCCATCATCTCTCTGTTGCCTCCCAGGACACATTAGCTGGAGCTGGATGGACAGAGTAGTCCGGACTCCAAATATGAGACGCAGATGTCCCAAGCAAGATGTGTCACAGCATCTGCTCCACGGGTGGCTTTTAAACACTTATTTTGACAGTACTGTTGTTTCTTTAACAGACCACTGACCAGATGTGAAGTCTTTGAAATTCATCTATTTTGATACTGTATGAAATAATCTCCATCTCCAGGAACACCCATCTCTCATATTGCTTTATGCATATGTTCCTGTGGCTGATTCCCACAGACTATGAAAATAGTTTGCAGATGCAGGCCCTCTACATTTTAGATTTTTTACTTATTGCCATTTATTTTAGTTATGACTCTGTATTTTCCTTTATTCTCTTTATTTCTTACTATTTTTATTTTTTAAAATAGGAAACAAAGGGAATTTGATTGACACAGTTCCTCTAGGCTAGGTTTTAAATTTTACTTTTTAAATTGATCTAACAGGTAGGGAAATACCCACAACAGCCAGAAGCTGGGAAGTCAATCTGTGTCTCCCATTTGGGCAACAAGAGCCCAATTATTTGAGCCATCACCAGCTGCCTCCTGGGGTATGCATTAGCAGGAAGCTGGAATGGGAAGAGAAGCTGAGACTTACACCCAGGCGCTTTGATATGACAAGTATGTATCCCAATGACTGCACCAAATGTCTGCTCCTGGCTTCTTGTTCTTAAATATAAAGCTAAGAGCTGAACATCTCAGAACTGTTTCTTCTTGAATTGTACAGCAAACATGATCAATACTCACAGCATTTATGAAGCTGTAAACACTACTGAACCTCCTTCCAAAAATACAACTGGCAAATTATGAGACACATTCCATTAGAAGCCCGGTTTTAGCAACCTAATTGTTAAATGAATATAGTTCTATTGAACTGGAAAGATAATACATTGAATGAGTTTTATCATTAGTGTAATATAAAATGTTATTGATTTCAATTTTATGTGCTTTCCTGTTAGTTCTAAAGATTGATTTTTCCATGTAAAGTAGAAAGTTGCCAACTTGGTAATGCCTTTATAGCTTTACAGATATACTTGTTACAATGAATATTTGAAACCCTGTTATCACTATACTGTTTTAACTCCTCCAACAGAAGTGTTTTCCTGAAGACTGCCCCACAACTTCATTTCTGAATTTTTACTCTAACCTTTGTGATCATTCTTTCTGAATTCTTATCACCTGTTTTGCCCTTTCCCCAACCCATTCATTAAAGTCATCAAGAGATGTGGATTACTGTTGGTGGGTATGTAAACTGGTACAGCCACTGTGGAAGACAGTATGTAGAAACCTCAGAAATCTGAATATAGACCTACCATATGACCCGGCCACCTCTCTCACTCCTGGGAATTTATCCAAGGGAAATGAAATCAGTATATAAAAGAGTTATCTATACCCCCATATTTACTGCAGCACAATTTACAATAGCTAAGAGATGGAATCAGCCCAAATATCCATCAACTGAAGACTGGAATAAAGAAATTATGGGATATATACACCATGGAATACTACACAGCAGTAAAAAAAAATGAAATCCTGTTGTTTGTAACAAAATGGATGCACCTGGAAACCATTATACTTGTTGAATAAGCCAATCTCGAAAGGACTAATAGCATATGTTCCAGTGATCTGTGGTAACTAACAGAGCACCTAGGTAATCTATAGTAGTGAAATTGACACTTTAAGATAGGATGACTTTGAACAACCCTTGTCTGACTGTTGAGGGACAGGATTTTTTTTCATACTATTTTTTGAACTCTTTACTTAGTATAGAATTAATCTTATGTGTATAAAGTTAATTGAAAATAAATCTTAGTAAAAAATAAAAAGTTGGGAATAGGAAAGGGAGGAGGAAGATGGGTGGGAGTGAGGGTGGGAGGGCATGTATGGTGGGAAGAATTACTGTGTTCCTAAAGTTGTACTTATGAAATGCATGAAGTTTGTATACCTTAAATAAAAGGTTTCTGGATCTAAGAAAAAAAGATATGTGGATTATTCTAAATGTTTTAGGCATACATCTTCTTATTTCCCTGGAGATTAATCTACTCCAGGCATACTATACATCAGTTATCTATTACTGCATAACAATACAACCAACACACAGTGATTTAAAACAGAGGCCATTTATTTGTTTATAATTCCACTGTTATCAATTTAAAATTACAATTCAATTACAAAGAACTACCTGGTTGATAATCTCACTAGCGCTGAGTTTGAGAAAGCCTGCCCCCTGGCTCAAAAACCCCCAGTTGTGCCTCAAGTAAAACAGAACCAAGAAGAAGCTTCATCTGAGCAACCTGGTCTCATACAGATCCAAACAGTCCTCCTTTTACCCACACTTTATCACATGATTTTATCTTCATAGTTTCTTATCATCATGACACAACGCCAGTTATCAAACAAATGCTTTAGCTTTTCTCTTTTTGGCCTAACCAAGCTATGTCCTAACTGTTGTAGAAAAATTAGATCCTGCTTTTTCTACCAAAGGTTCCACAATTTCATTGAGACCTGTCACAAATATATTGCTTAGCATGTATTATGTCGGCTCAAGTAACAGTTTGCAGGAATCCTTTTTGAATATCCCCAGCAATATTTGAAGGAGGAAGCCAAGGTTAAATAATCTGTCTCTACCCCCTCACCTCCAAGATACAGAAGAAAGAGAAAAAAGAAATAGGAGGCATTTCTTTTCTATTTTAGCATCCAGAAACAACTAGCCAGGAATTGGAGATAACAGAGCAGCCTTTGAGAACCATTGAATTGGTAGGTAAGGTGAGATGGCCCACAGTTATCATCATGACTTTTAGAAAGATCAGCCTGCTCTCTGGGTGCTCATGGAATTTACACATCAGCGATAATCCTCTTAGAGCCTGTTTCTCAAAGTAGTGAAAAGATATCTTTGGAAAGAAGGAGTTCTGAGATCAAATACATTTGTAAATCACAAATAAATTTGGAAAAGAATCCTACTACACTCCTTCTTAGATGGGATAGAGAAAGCTGTTTAATAATCCCTGAATTGTTTAGCTATGTTAGCTTTGAATTTGAGGTTGGGTTTGGTTTCAGTTTCTGTGAGCTTTCCACAGACTAATTGCTCTTGGGAATATACTTCAGGAAACTTTTTTAGATAATGACTGTGGTGGTGAGTCCTAAGAAATGATACCTTGCTGCCACATAATACATTGGCCCAACTTTTCAGAATGGGAATGAGCACTACCCCCTTAGCCGCTTTTCACTCAGGAGTGGGAGAAGCTTTTAATGGAATCTCATTGTGATCTTCCGTGTAGGATTTTCCTCGGGTACAGGAGACTTCCTCAGAGCACGACTTAACACTTCAGTTACCCTGCCTCAATACCTGGGTAATGCCATAGTACTGGGGTGGTTGGAGGTGGGGGGGGGGGTGTAATTAGTTTAAGAACTCTCTGAAACATACACACCCCTGCAAGACCCCAGGACTTAGTTTTCTCAAGAATATCTACTCACAGCTTACTGTTCATCAGAAAGCTAAAAAAACTGTACTGAAGTTTCTGCAGAGACTAATGTGTCAGCAAACTTTTATTGTAGCAATCTCCTTACTCTTTATTTAAAGCATGAAAAAAGATAAAATTATATAGCACCCATAGCCTCTATCCAATGTGGATATTTTATCATATTTTTCAGATACATTTTTTTCCTTTTTTAAACTTACAAAAAGATTTATTTATTTGGAAGGCAGAGTCACAGAGACAAAAGAGAGAGATGTTCCATCCACTGGTTTACTTCCAAGAAGTTAGGAGCCAGGCCTCTCACATGGAGGGCAGGGACACAAGGACTTGGGCCATCCTCCACTGCTTTTCCAGGTGCATTAGCAGGGAGCTGGATCAGAAGTGGAACAGCTAGGTTTGGAACTGTGCCCATATGGGATGTCCACTAAGTCACAGTGCCAGCCCCAAGATGTATTTTTTCAAGTAAAATACTATAGACCCAGTTGAAGTTTCCCATTGATTGCATAGTGTTTCTGTAAATAACGCATTAGCATTGATGTGTATGCAGTGTTGGCAGTCATTAGATTTGGTAAGTCATTGCAAAAAGTTAAATATTTTCTATAATGCTCCAAATAAGGTCAAACAGCAATTAGTATCACAAGCCACAGAATAGGTGTATGACATGTGAGAATTTAGTGAGAATTGGTAAGTTTCAAATTTCTGATCTCATTATGAGAAGCTCAAAATTTGATCCTTCTCACCAAACAAGACTCATGTGTCATTTTAATATATTTAGC